CTGCATGTGGGGCCGGGGGGAAGGGGAGGGAACAGGAGGCGCGGGCAGGAGAGAGAGGGATGGGGGAGGTGGAATGGAGGAGGGGGGATGCGGGAGGAAGAGGAGGGAGGTGAAAGACGGCGAGGAGGAAGCGGACGGATGATTGAGCAGGGCGAAGGAGAGGAAGGGAAGAAGCTAGGAAGTAGGGGTGTGGTTGGTTGTTGACTTGTGTATCGGACTTGCTTTAGTAACTCCTGTTGGGAAGGGAGGGGGGAGGAGGGATAGGGGGGCAGGAGGGAGGGGGGAGGGGGAGGAGGAGCAGTAGGGCCAGGAGGTGAGGGGAGAGGAGGCGGGGAAGGGAAAGGGGGCTGGTGTGCTTCCCAATCTCCTGCCAATCCTCTCGCGCTGGAGGAGGAAGATGAGATGGTGGAACGGGAGGAGCCAGAGGAGGAGGAGGAGGAGGAGGAGGAGGAGAAGGAGGAGGAGAGGGAGGGGGATGTGGTGCGATCTTCTGCGACCTCTCTTGTAAGTATCCTCTCTGATGATGTTTACGGTACTTTGTATTGGTATTGTATTTCCATATTCCCATTGGTTGCTTGCCTAGTTTCTCCGCGCCCGCATGGACACCTACCATTCTACCAATTATTTCGGCATCTCTGGTGTCCGCACTGGCAGAAGCCTTGACATTTTACCACATGACTAAGTCGGCGCATTCATAGGCGTTCGTATTTCGTCCCTCGAGGAGCGCAGCAAGCCTGGCCTTCATGCCCGCACAACGTAAAAAAGGAGGGTGTTGGTGGTTGTGGAGACGGTACTTGGTCATGACGTCGTGCTCAACGTGTGTCTCTTGTGATGGCAATTGTGCAGGGCATACGCGAATGGCAGCCCGAGGAAGTCACATAGCCTGCACCGTCTTCAGGCCAGAGACTGGCCTCGGAAGCTCCGAGGGGCGACCTTCTGGCGCCGCCTCCCCCTTGGCTGCGGCCACGGTTCTCGGCAGCGCTGGCCTACTGCGCAGGGGCGAGCTCCACGCGGACTTCTGGAATCGGCGCTGGCTCCCCCGCCCCCCCCTGGCGGCGCCTCCGTTGCCGCCCCCGCTGCCGCCCCCGTCGCGCTCCGCGTGCCAGGGGGGGGGGTTGCGGGGCTGAGCGCCGTTCCGAGGAATCCGCGCGGACCTCCGAAGGTTGATGTGTGTGTGTGCATATATGTTGTTCCTCCAGCTTCTGAAGGGAACAACACGAAGCACAGACTCGAGCGAACGCCGAGCCCCCTTTGACAATGCGGGAAATGACAAGGGAAAACGAACATCCAGAAGATACTGAAAAGCAGTGGGGGTCATGGGAGCTGTGCCGATTTACTGTTAGGTCGGGCATGTCCCCCTACAGTCGGATTTTGGACGGAAAGCAAGAAATAACCAACAAATAGTCAAGAATGTCAACAAATGGTCGAAACCTCGTCCCCATACTGTTTTTGTTTGTACTAGTTTTGAATATTCCTCCTGTAAAGGGACAGGCCCGATTTAAGTTTACACGCCTGTCGTTGAAAGTAGGTATTTTTGGATGCCCACATCCTAATCTACTTTAGGCGCCTTCCTACTTCAAGAGTCGAGCGGTGTTCCTTGTTTCCCTCCTTCAGGGGGCGGATCTGCTTCAGCGCCTTCCTACCTTATGTTTTTACCTGCTTCTTCCGGCCGGCGTGTACCGGCGTGCCCCCGGCCCCCCTCACAGGTTGGCGGCCCGCGGCCCACGGGCAGCCTCGGGGGGGGGTCCTCCCGCGGGGCCCCCCCCTGCCGGGCACGGGGGGGGTCCGGAGTCGCGGCGGCCCGAGGCTCGAGTCGGGGACGTCCCTCTACAGGTGTACGGTTAAGGCGGGCCTGTCCTTGTGCAGGAGGGAAATTCAAAAATAGTAAAAAAAGTAGTCTGGGGACTATGTTTTGATTACTTTTGAGCATTCTGGTGGCACTTTTGAAGTATGTTGAATTTTTCGCCCCAAATTCCCCTGTAGGGGGACACGCCCGAGTTACGAGTAAGGCTCGAGAACCGTAAAACATACTAATTTATGATGTCATCGCTTCGCTCATTCCGCCGGCCCTTAGGGGCTTCGTGGGGGCCTCTTTGGGGGCTTCTTGGCGGCGTCCTGGGGGCCCCATGGGGCCTCTTCGGGGGCTCCTGGGGGCCTCTTGGGAACGAGTTCTTGATTGTTTTGTGGACCAGGTCCAGATCTGCTTGGACCATGTCTTCTGCGTCTCCCAGAAAAGCCGCCCTGCAGGAGGACGGGCCCGACGTAGGGCCCGAGGCGAGGGGGCGCGGGCACGGCCGGGCCGGTGCGCGGGCAGGGCAGGCGCATGACGGGGGGGAGGCGTCGGCAGCTCCTACCCAGAAGAAGAAGCAACGGCATAAGCAGAAACGAGCAAGAACAACATAATATCACATGACATAACATACCATCACATAACATAGCACACGGTAGCATACTACAGCGGACCATGAACATACGAACATACACAACATAACGTAACATGCCACAGTAGCATACGAACGCGGACATGACATATGATATCATAGCAGAAGCGGGCTCTTGGAACAGGTAACATAGACAGTAGCATAGCATAACATGAACGAAGACGACGAAACTCGTTTCTTGGATTCGCGCTGGTCCCCCCCGGCGGCGTCTCCGGCGCCGCCACTGGCGCGCTCCGCGCCCCTGGTTGGGGGGGTCCATCGCGGATCCAAGAAATCCGCGCGGAGTGCCATAATTGTATGTATTTGGAGTGTGTTCCTTCTTCATTACCCGTCGTTCGTTGAAAGTAGGTATTATGGGACTCCCAGATCCCAATCTGCTTCAAGCGCCTCCCTACCTCAAGAATCGATGTGCTCTTGCTGGCTTCGTTGTTCCCTGGGAGGGCCTGAATCCAGTCTGCTTGATCCGCCTTCCTCTGATCGAGCAGTGGCGACGCGCCCTGGCTCGCGCTACAGGCCCACCAGGGAGTGTGCTCCTGCTGCTCCTCCTTTCCCCGCACCGGCTTCCTCTGGGCAAATCCGCCGATGCATCCCTTTGAAATCATGCGGTTGTTTGAGCTCCTCGTGCATGCGGGATGGCTCGCGAACTGTAAGCTCCGTCTGCGGGGGAAGTCGCCGTTTGCATCGTCCTCGGTGTGCTGCCGTTGGGCGTTTGCCAGCCTGGCAGCCAGAGAGCGCTCCTGTGTGGTTAGCTGGAAACGCTCTTAGAACATTCCTGGCGGAGACTGGCTCGCTTTGATGCACTGGCTTTTTTGTTCTAAGGACATCGTTCTTTCGTATGACATTTCTTTGTTCTGCGAACATGTCGTGGTAGGCTTAAAGGAATGCCGGGACGGTCGGTCCTTGCTCAAATGAAACGTCTTCAATCTGATCATTTTCGGCGGCGAGACCTGGGGGAGGTGAGAAGGGGCGTGCCTTCTCGGCAGGCTTGGAAGGCCTCAGGCCATCTGAGAAGTTGTCCAAGCCTTACCCGTAGACAGAGAACACTTTTCAGGAGGCTGGTGGGCTTTTGTCGGGGGAGCGTAAGACCCGAGTTTGCCGGGACTCGGGTTCGCCATCGTTTTTTGACGACCGCGCCTCGGATTTTGACGAGGAGGAGTTTCGTGGGATGTCTGCAGCGGGAGGCCTCGTCAAAATGCAGGCTCGGCCTCGTCATTTTTTTGACGACCTCGTCGGGGATTTCCGAGTCCCCCGTACCCGGGTCTTACGTCTCCCCGATTTTGAGCAGCTCCGCCTCTTTCTGACAATGCCTTCTCGTTTTCAGTTCCCCCCAGGCGCACCGCCGATATTTCCCGACCAGCATAATTGAAAACCGTTTTCCGGGGTTCAAGTTCTATGCAATTTTCCCAACGCGGCTTGCAATATGGTCCTGGTGCACATCACATGTTGTTTTCTCAGAGACTGAGCTGTATTGAATGGTATACGTGTTCCCCCTCGTACAAGGGAAAGGGTAGCACGCGGTCCTTCGTGGGGCCGCTGGCGCTCATGCAGGTGAGGATCGGAATATCTGGTGAGGCATGCGGATTGAGATGGTTTGTGAAGGCGTTCGCCCGAATTTCGACGGGGCCCCGAGTCGCTGGGAACGTTCTGAACAGATCCCACATTAACGACGTCGGCGCTTGTGTCCTCGGCTCCAGAGCGAGCGCCCACGTCGTTTACGGAGGAGGGTGGACGAGGAGGGGAAGGAGGGAGGAGGGAGGAACGACGGTGAGAGCGGAGGATGAGGACATAGAAGATGGAGTGGGAGGAGAGGGGGAATAGCTGAGAAGGAGTGGAGATGGTGCCCACAACATTCTCTAAGGTATCTGACATTGTTTTGGTTTCGGGAGGTTCGCAGAGCTTAGTGGGTTGGATGGCCTTGGCTCCCGGAGATGTCTTGACGATGGGATCATATCGTGCAGAAGGAACATCGCGTGAGTGTCGCAAGTTTCGTGCGTCGGAACATAGTTTTTCATCAGCTTGCTTTTAGAGCAATGTTTTTTTCCCAGATAGAGAATGCCGCATGGGAGAAACGGATATCAATGCAAACACCGAGCAGATTGTGGGATCATGGAAGGTGCCATACGTTGTGCCGAAGATCACCAACGGGGCACTAGTTACGCCGCAGGAGATGGCAGCATGATTTCTGCTTCAGGCAAGTGCCAGCAGCGATCTGATCCTATGGGTATGGTTCCACAATGGGTTAAGCTCTCTGGGCGCGCTGGGAAGACTTGCAATCCACAGCAGAAGTGTCGCTGCGCGTTGTCCGCCGTGACGCACCAACGTGTTGCCAATTCGTGTTATCCAGTGCTTCGTCCACTTCAATGCCCGTGGTTTCGGGGGTGGTTGGGACGGAAGTGCTCTCGACATCATCACCATCATCTCCGCATGCTATTCACAGTCTTGCTCCAACCTTATTGGTCTGATGACGAAGCCTGGTGGATACGGGCAATAGTTTGACCATTCACACCCCCTGGCGGGCCGAGGGTTTTGGGATTGATGTGGCCAGGACCTTGGCGTTTGGGGTGGCCAGGGGGGAATACGTGTAATCTTCCTGCAGCTATAGGTGCAAGCATGCTCCTGATCCTTCTGCTGCTGGTGCTCCCTTCTCCCTCAGCCTCCCACTCATCGTCCACATCCTTGCAAGTTGTTCCTCACCCATTCCTCCTCACCCGAGGAGGGGGAGGAGCAGTCTGAATCATAAGGAGCATCCAGGGAGGAACGAGTCTGCGAAAGAGAAGGTAGAGGAGGAGGTGGAGGGTGGGAAAGAGGTGGACGAGGAAACCCAAAAGGAGCAGGAAGCGGAGGGTGGTAGTCATATTGATGCCCATGACCTGATAGAGATGATGATTGGCCAGGTGATGGTGACGTTGTTGATGATGATGGTGGTGGTGCTGATGCTGACGATGACGATGGTGGTGGTGCTGCTGACGAAGATAGTAAAGCTGATGCTGGTGATGCTGATGACGACGATGCTGATATGATGACGATGATTAATTATGGTGATGAGTGCGGTGATGATGTTGGTGGTGGTGATGATGGTGCTGATGTTGTTGCTGATGATGATGATGCTGAGGATGATGATGATGCTGATGTTGATGATGCTCATGCTGACGATGCTGATGATGATGATGACGCTGATGCTGATGCTGATGAAGATGATGATGATGATGATGACGATGATGATGCTGATGCTGATGCTGATGATGATGACAGTGATGCTGCTGCTGGTGATGATGATAATGACGATGCTAAGGACGATGAGGATGCTGGTGATCAGGATGTTGAGGATGATGCTGATGCTGATGCTGATGCTGATGATGTTGATGATGCTGCTGATGATGATATTGATGATGCTGGTGATGTTGATGATGGTGATGTTGTAGATGGTGCTGGAGAGGTGGAGCGATATTGGTTATTTCATCTTCTGCATTCCCTCCTTGTCCTCCTTCGCCCTCCTCCCTCCCGCCCCCTGCTCCTTCCTCGTCCCCTAAGAGTTTTGATTGTCGATCATCCATTTCCTTCCGCCGCTTCCCCCCGCCCTTCCTCCGCAGCTGGCCCCAGACCTCTCGACCCCTTCCCGGGGATTGCTTGTCCTTGTGTTGCACCTGTGTTGATGATGGGTGCCGAGACGGCCCGCAGATGCCGAGATCAAGGGAACGCGCCAGGACAGGAACATTCACGTCGGAGGTCTTGGCTCCTTCTTCCCTCCTCCTCTCCATCCTTACCGACTCCTTCCTCATCCCTCCCTGCTCGTCCGAGGAGGAGGGTGATCAATGATAGGGAGAATCTGGGAACGCTAGGCATGAGCAGGCGGAGGAGGAGGAGTCGGAGCGGGAGGAGGAGGAGGCAGAGGAGGAAGAAGATGAGACGGGGCGAGGTGCTGGGTCCTTTGGCGCGCCCAGGACTGCAACCCCAAGGGTTGTGGCGCATTCACAGGCTCCATGGCCGTCGCGCAGATGAAGGATACCGGCGCCACGCTCAGGTTGAGGAGGAGGGACGCAGCTGTTTGGCGAGTTTGAAACATGAGCCGTTTGTCGTTTTCCCAGGCAGTGCTTGCACTTGGGGGCTCTTGCTTGGTTTTGCTTTACGTCATTGGTTGGGCAATGTCGGCTTTTTGCCACACTGCCGCCCGTGTCGCTTCTTGGGCGAAAGTCGGGCCTGTCCCTCTACAGGAGGGATATTCCCAAATGATAAAAAATAGTCAGGGGACGATGTTTGATCATTTTTGGCCATTATGGAAGTTTTTTTTGGGAGTCTTTTTGATTTTTCGCCTAAAACTGCCCTTCAGGGGGACAGGCCCGACCCAAGGGTATGCCGGGTTATTCGCCACGTTGCCGCCCGTGTGCCGTTTCGCGGGCGCCCCCCCGTAGCCTGCCCCACACGCAGTTTACCCCAGCACCAGCTTGCGCCGCATAGCTCACGCCGCACAGCTCACGCGGCGCTGCCCACGTCGCACACCCTGCACCGCGAGCTCGCAGCGCACAGCTGGCACCGGCCAGCTGTCGCCTCATAGCCTGCGTGTCACAGCTTACGCCACATGGCTTGCACTGCACAGCTGTCACCTCCATCGCCCAGACCACATAGCTTTCGCATCCATCCCAGCCTACGCGACACAGCTTACTCACCGCACAGCTTACTTACACCGCATAGCTGTCACATCCATAGCTCGCACCACAACACTTGCATCACATGGCTAACACGGCATGCCATTCACCTCTATTGTGTAAAACCTCATTTTGTTGGCTAACACTACCCTCCTTCTATCTCATGTTTTGTTCTGGAGCAGTCCTTGGTCCCAGGCGCTGCCAGACTCCGACTCGGGATGAGAGCCAGCTCCATGTCCCAGGGAATGGCTTCAAGAGGTCTGGGGGATGGAGGCTCGAAGCAGAGGTGTCCTCGGTGCTCTGGTCGGAGGAGGATCGAATTTTGGGACATGCTCGGGCCTCGAGAGGCCTCTGGGGCCTCCAGAGGAGGGGAGAGAGGAAGAGAGCGAGGGAGGGAGGGAGGGAGGGAAGGAGGAGGAGGACGAGGAGAGAGGAGGGAGGAAGGATGGGGATGAGGAAACGGCGGTTGGAGGAGGAGGGAGGAGAAATAGTTGGGAGGAGGAACGGGGAGGAGGGGGAGGGGGAGGAGGGGGACGGGGAGGAGGAGTGGGAGAATGAGGAGGAGGAGGAGGAGGAGGAGGAGGAGGAGGAGGAGCAGGAGGAGGCTGTCGTTGCGTTTGCGCCTCGGCGTGGCTACGATGGGGGAGGACCATGATCAACGAGGAGCCGGCGGGAGAAAAAAACGGCGGGAGACCCCCCGAGAGGACATGGGCATGACGCAGGTGATGATCGGGCACTCCGAGCGCCGCGGCGAGTTCGGGAGCCCAGCCCCTGCCGGAGAGGCGTCACCGTGTGTGGCCTCTGGCGATCTCTGCCCCCTTCGTGGGCTCGGACAAAGGGGGTTATCCCAAGGTGGGTTCAGCTTCATGAAGGAGCATTGCGCGAAGAGAAACTTTCGGAGCTCCTCGCGGATCTCTCCGATCTGCGCTGGGCCCCCCCTGGAAGCGCCTTCGGCTCCGCCCCTGGCGCGCTCCGCGCGACACCGATCCAAGAAGTTTGCGCAGCTCCGATCGACGTGTGCTCCTCTAGTTAGGGAACGAGCCCAGCTAGATGCCCACATGTCCTTCTTCCACGGAGAGTCTAGGGCGATGTTCCTCCACTCCCACCTGTGCACCTACCCAGGCTTCACGTCTCCCCGACCCCTGCGGTTCCAATTGGCGCTGGGGTATCTTACACTTCTTCTTTCTGACTTCGCCGGTGCCCTAGATTTTCGGGCCGGGCGAAAGGGGGGGATTGGGAAAGGGGGGGTTACGAAATTTGCTGCATGCAGCTGGTTTCGGCCCCACCGAGGGGCCCATTCCTCGATACATTGCTGCTTCCAGCGCCGGGAGGCGCCGGGAAAATCAGCTACGCGAGCTGATTCTCAAACCCCCCCTTTGCTATCCCCCCCTTTTGCCCGACCCGAGAGGAGGAGGAGGAGGAGGAGGAGGAGAGGAGGAGGAGGAGGAGGGAGGAGGAGGAGGAGGAGGAGGAGGAGGAGGAGGAGGAGGAGGAGGAGGAGGAGGGGAGGAGGAGGAGGAGGGGGAGGAGGAGGAGGAGAGGAGGAGGAGGAGGAGGAGGAGGAGGAGGGGAGGAGGAGGAGGAGGAGGAGGAGGGGGAGGAGGAGGAGGAGGAGGAGGAGGAGGCCTCCCCTCAGTTCTGCCTCCTTCCCCTCCCGGTCTTGCCTGCCCGCCCTCCTCGCTTCTCCTCCCCTCTCCGTCTCTCCCTCATCCCGGGCCCCATTCCTCCTTTCTCCCGTCCTCGCCCTCCGTCCCTCCGCCCTCCCGAAGAAGAAGAAGAAGAAGAAGAAGAAGAAGAAGAGGAAGAAGAAGAAGAAGAAAAAGAAGAAGGAGAAGAAGAAGCGCCCTTCCTTTCCCATCCCTCCTCCATGCGTCCTCCCTCTCCTCCTGCCCCCCCCTCCTCTTCACCCATCCCCCCCTTATGTTTCCCTCCCTCTCTCGTCCTCACCGTCGTCATCAATGTCACCAGCGTAATCGTCATCGTCAATATCGCTGGCCAGTTGGGTTTTGCCAACACGTTGCGAGTGGGTGGGTGGGTGGGAGGTCTGTGCCAGCAGTGCAGTTGACAACTTCAATATTGGCATCGTAGGTTACTCCCCAGGCGCCTACGTTCCCTGCCCTTTTCTCTCCCTCCTGCAACGCCGCACCCTCCTGCTTCGCCGTCTGACGCTGGAGGATCTTCAAGATGGACGACGACGCTACGCTGGCCGCCAAGCTCAAGCGCCCGCGCTAGAGGGGGAGGAGGATACAGAGGGAGCAGGGTAGAGTGAGCGAGTATGGAGGAGTACAATGAGGAGGGGTCGGGGGAGCGAAGAAGTGGAAGGTGAGGAGGGAGGGCGAAAGGAGGAAGGGTGAGGATGATTGGTGGGAGGGCGATGATTGGGATGGGTGAGGCCGCACATTGGAGGGAGAAGAGGTGGAAGGATCTTGCCTCCGGTATGTTGGTCTATCAAACGTTGTTGTGCGTTATCCCCTCTTTCTCCCTTCATGTTGGCATATGAGTACCACTGTGTATGCATCTACGTATATGCATGCCATTTGTTTATATATATGTGCGTTATATATCTATGTGTATATATACACATACATACACATACATATGTATATATATCCCCCTTTTTCGGAGGCCTGTGAACCCGAGGTTGTGGGCTCGACAGCGCATGGCGGAACCGGGGGCCCCAGAGGTGCCCTACACCCGGCCAGGCGGCCCCGGCCTGCCCCTGAGTCGTCAGAATTCAGAAGGGGAAAACACACACAGACACAATTGATCGTCGATTCCCCAGAAAATATGGGAAAATATGGGCAGTGGGGGGGAAGACAAAAACCCAGAAAATATGGGAACAGAAAATATGGGAAAATACAAGGAATCCTTTTATTTGTGTGTGTGTGTGTGTTTATTTGTGTGTCCCAGTTTCCCTTCACGAGCATTATTCCCCGACGCCCGCGAATCGCCCCCAGATGGTCCACCGCGCCCCCCCAGGCGTTCTCCACAGCCTTCATCGACGGCCCAGAGCGCCTCACACACGGCCTAAGAGTGGTCGTCCCAGACGCCCCCGAGAGGGCCGCAAGAGGCACTAATCATTGAGTATTCCATATCTTGCTTGTTTTGATGGGTTTCCGCATGTCCGGCTCGCCGACGCTCCAAACCAGCCCCAAAAGCATGAACACCCGCCTGCAAACGGTTGCAGAGGCTCCCCCCCGAGGGCGCCCACAGTGCCCAAGAGGCCCCAAGGCCACCCCAAGGTGCAACCTCTTGTCCACGTTAAGAGTTCGCCGCAACCATTGGATAACAGCCGTCTTACGTGAAACGTTTCAAACGAACAGCGCATCATGTGTGAGAAGGGGTTTCGCGTCGAATTGCTTCGTTTGGGAAACGCGCCCCCCCCCCAATTGCGCCCCCATGAACAGTTACCTGGCGGTCTCAGGTTGCATGTGTCCAGGAAACTTATGGATCACGAGTTGGCATGGTGGTTCTTGCGGACGAGCTCCAATCTGCCACCCTTTCTGGAGTTGTCAGGGATGTTCGGGCTGATGGTGGGTTTATCCCATATGCTTTTGCTTAGCTCCCTGCGCAGTTCCGCAGGATCGTTCCCGCTGTGGTACAGGAGGACCACATTCTCATCCCGATATGCTGTGGGTTTGCAGGTGGCTGCGCCATATGAGAATCTACACGTCTCCAACACGTGTAACCACATTGACATGTACACGCGTTGTTTTCGACAGATCACCGTTGTCCTCCCCCCATCCGCCGCTCGCTGCATTGGTGGAGATGGGGATCGGGTCCAATATGGCGCTTTCCAGGAGTATTGTGGGTCGTGGGGCTTGCGTCGAGGCATTGTCGGCGGGCCCATCAGCGGTTTTTCGGTTTCTCATGTGTGAATCAAATCAAAGTCGCGGTCAGTGCTATCGATATCCTTGCCAATCCTGTTTTTTTTTCGGGGGGGGGCGGGCCGCGCCCCTGCTGCTGTCCCGCATCGCCCTCCCGCACCCAGCGGCCACATGTCGGTCGGTTAAGTCAGCGCCCGCGCATCGCAATATGGCGTCGAAACAGCACAGTCAGACCGCGCTTCCTGCGGACTTTCCGATGAGGCGCCGGGGGATCAAGGCATTGTTCGGCGCAGTTGATGAGGAGTTTCGGCAAAGGCAGGCGTCGAATAATTCCAGGAAGCTGCGCTCGGCTTTCGCGGGCAATCGAGGTTGGCGGGAGCAGAAGTGGTATCTTTGCGTCCGCGCCCCCCACCGCTACTCTGTCCTTGTTGCCTTCTTTGACGCCGGGCGCGGGCGGTGCTCTGGCCCCGACGGCTCGCGCGCGCTGGTCGCGCCATGCAGAGCTGCTGTTTCGATGCGCAGATGGAAGAGGCAGGGCGACGCACGGCGGGGGCGGGGGGGGGGGGCGGGGGGCAATGCAGGGCAGAAGTGGCGGCGAAGACAAGGCGGAATACTTGGCTGGTGGCTCTCAAGCTGGGGTGGGCTGCGATCGGCCGTTGGCCTGGGACTCGAAAATTCGGGCGAGGATGGGCTGCCCCGCGCCGCCCCTGACTTGGCGGCGCAAGCTCTGGCGGCGCGCCTGGGCGCGATTACCGCCCAATTCCTTCGCTATGGGCGCCCGTGGTCAGCCATGCCATTCCGCGCTCTGACTGTCGGCCAACTTCCCGCGCCCCCCCCGCCGCGACCGACGAGCTTGAAAGGGGGATTCGGTGCGCGCTCTGCTCGGCCTGCGGGGCGGGCGGGGCCCCTCGCGGCTGCCGGTTTGCCCGCGAGGCAAAGGGGGTTTGTTCTCCGCGCGATGCCGCGACTAAAGCGCGGGCGATTGCCCCCCCCCCCCCCCCCCCCCCCGCCCGCCCCCTGCCGCGGAATCAGCTGCGCGGCATTTCTCGCCGCGTGGCGAGGCCCAGCTGACAGGGGGGCTTTTCCCCCGCGCGCCCGTGGCTCTAGCCGCCCATTTTTTTTCTAGCGCGGATGCGAAGATCATGCCGTCGCCTCGCGCGCGGCGGCGGGGCTGCGGGCGGGCGGCGTCGAAAAGGGCGCGCGCTCTTGACGGCGCGGGCTTGGGCGGGCTTGCGCGGGGCCTTGCGGCGCGCGAGGGGGCCCGGCAAATCGGGCGCTCTTTGCGTCGATTTCCCAGCCGCCTCCCCCTGATTTCCCAGCGCGGCTTTTCCGTGCGTTGCAGGCCGCGGACGGCCCCGTTCGAGGGGGGCGACGCAGGGCGACCCCGCGTCGGCGGCCGCGTTTGCCTATCTCGTTGGACTCGTTCACGCGGCGGGTCGCGCACAGGCGTGCCTTGCGACTCGAGCTCGAGCGCCCCGGCGCCGACGATTTCTATTTCGGGCCTCACAGCATCTCAGAGGACGTCGTGCCAACCCCATTGTTTCGAGATGCGCTGGCCGCGGCTAATGGGCTTGCACTGAGCACTGGGAATGCGCCCGTTTACCTGCTGGGCACCAGCGGGGCATGGGCTCTTGGAGCGCGCGCGATTTGCAGGCGCTGAGTCTCGTGCCATCAAGTTCGGGGTGCCTTCTCTACCCTGGGTTCTGGGCGTGCCCCTGCGTGCGCGCGGCTGCTTGGCGCCGGCGCAAAGTCGCGCTCGAGTTCTGGCGGAGAGCGGGGGCCGCGTTCTCCGACGCTTGGGTCGCCCGCGACGATCCGATATTTTCATTCGATTCGTTGTTCAGCGCTGCAGTTTCGAACGCAGCTCGCTCGCGCGAAACCCGAGGTTGCCGGACGGCCCGGGGCGCTGCAGATATTCGCAGCTGCCCCTAGACACGCGCTGCGCTACTGCCCGCTCGCCCAGTTACGCGGGCCGCGGCCTTCGCTTGATTTCGAGGACTTGAGAATCCCAGTGAATGCCGGGCGTCGCGAACCTGCCGGGGGCGCGGAAGGACCTGATGGCGGATGATGGCTCGCGGTCTGCTTTGCTGGCCCTCGCGGGGCCGACGATGGGCCGCGATCGCTGCATTGCGGACGTTGCTCTGCTTGGGCGCGTTCCTCAAGACCCGCGCCCGCCACCGATTGCGCTCCGCTCTGAGCTCATCCCAGGCGTTCCGTGCCCGTTCGAGGTTGCTCGCCACGAGATGCGCGAGGGCGGCCGCTGTTTTCCGCGGCGCCCGGCCGGGGGGTCGAAGTGTTGATGGCCCAAGAGTTGCTGCTCTGCCCTTCCGCGCCACGCGCGGGGGCCCCTCCGTCGTCGTCTTTCTGCATAGCTTTTGGCCACGTCCTGCTGTCTATGATCATCTCTTACAGGGTTATTGAAAGTGGAGTGTGTGCTGGCGGGCAAGCAAGCGCCGCCCGTAGGGGGTTATCCTTGTCCGTTTGTGACGGGCCCTTGTCGCGCCCCCAGGTCGATCGGCGGCGGCCCCCCATGGGCCCGGTCCGTGCCCGTTGGTTGCCGGTTCCTCTTCGCCTCGTGGGCGGGCCCTTGCGTCGGCGTCTCGGGGCGGCCCCGGGGCCCCATGGAGTCGCTGGGCCCTTGCCGCGCGCAGCGCGCCCCCCGCCCCCCCCAGGCGCGGCCTTCGTGTTTTTTTTGCGTCTCCGAGTTGCGCCGGCGACCTGGCGCCTTCGGCGCAATTAGCCAGGGGCCCTTCGGGTCTTCTTACCTTGCCCTCTCGGCCGTCGCCTGCCCCTGCTGGCGCCGCTCTTTGCGCGTCGCGGCGCCCGCGGTGGCCCCGCGCCCCCGCCGCCGCCCCCGCCGCCCCTCCCTTCGATTCGGCCGCCGCCTCGTCGCCGCGGGCCGGAGGAGATGCTGCTGCGGGGGCCCCTCCTGCGCGTCTCCCTGCGACTGGTCCGCTGCGCTTGCGCCTTGCTGCTCGCGTTGGTTTCCGCGGGCCCTTCGCCTGTCGCGCGCCGGGGGCCCCCAGGGTGTCCTTTCCGCCTTCGGTCGCGGTTGGGCCCCCATATCGCTTCCGCTTAGAAAACCGACCACTGGGGAGGAGGGGATGTCTACACGTTCCTGCAACTGTAGATATATTACTTTTTGGTTACATGTTTACATGTGTTGCGCGATGCGTAAAAAAGCGCAGTCCGTTTTGTTTTTCTTCATTTTTGCTTCAAATGCGTAGAATTGGCGCTTTGCTTTTAAACGCTTTGATGCGATGCGTAGAAGCAAAGTGCTCTGATGCGTGGAATTGGCTCGCCGAAGACAGTGCGCGCGCATCCACGGATGCGTAGAGCCTGAGTTCTGGTTCTGAACCCCCGCTAGTTCGAGAGTGCGAACAACCGACTTTCCGCCCCGTTGGCCGCCCTTTTTGCTGCTCTGTGCTCTGCTCGTTGGCGGCCCTTTCTCTCCCCGCACTCGGGCGCGCGCCCCGCCGCCCGACCTGCGCGGACTGCGGGCGCGGATGCGCGCGCTTCGGCGGGAAAACAACATGGCGCCATCTTCTCCCCCTTCGCCGCGCCGCGCGCGCCGCTTGACCAGCCCCGCTGCGCCGCCCCCCGCGCCGCCCCCCGCATCTGGACCCCGCGCGCAGCAAGGGCGAGGTGTTTTATTCGAAGACACCCTTATTTGGTCGCATGTTGCAGTAATTCTTGGCGTCCACCCAGCGAAACTGCCCGATTCAAGTCCGACTCGTGCTCGATCCAAATTTAGTTATTGTTCGGCTTTGGTTCGATACAATTTCGGCTCGCAGCCGACGGGCGTTCGACGCAGTGTCAGTGCACGAGGTGGGCGAGCGGCCCCAGTGAATCCCCAGAGCGAGCATCCAGCTTCGACGGGTTCGGGGGCCGTGCCGATGCCTTCTGTTTTGTGGCATGATGGGGCAACATAGGCGACAAACGTCCAGCCAATGGGGCGCTTGAAATTCCATGTTTTTTCTGCGTTCCCTTGGGGCGTCTCGGGGCTTTCATGGTCGATGTTTGGGTTTCCCGTGGGCTGCTGCGGTGTATCTTGTAACCTCGGGCTCCCGGCTCCCTTGTTGGCGAGGGTGATTCTGCGGTGGGTTTGAGTTTGGACGTTCGCGGGCCTCGCGCGCTTACTTTGCACCGTCGCGGCGTGAAACTTTGCGATGTCCGTTCCGCCCCCCTGGTCTCTTTCTCACTCGTCCCATCCCTCCTTCCCGCGCTGCATCCCCCCAAGGCGTTTAGTGTTCTTCTCCCCCATCCCCCCAACATGTTCAATGTTTCCTATTTCTGCAACGGCGGTTGCAGCCTGGATGTCCTAGGCCCTCGCACTCTTGCTCCGGATATTCGCGGCGTGAGACCAGTGCGTTTTATGCCTTTACGCACCACTCCTCCAGGCTGTCCTTCCCCCGCCCCGCTTGCCCCTCCCCCCCTACGGATACACATCCCAGGGAGGTGAGTGTAGCTTCGGCGTCGATATAGGGCCGGGGGCGGTAACCGGCGCAGTGCGCCCGAATCCTGCCCAATTCCGCTACGTTCCGTTTGGTCCCGCTTCGTCCTACTCCACCACGGGTTCTCTCTAAGTTTAGTTGGATCAGTGGCCCTTCCATCGGTCCGTATAGCTGTGTTATATCTAAGTGTTTAGACTCACACACACACATATGTTTGTATATACATGTGATTATATACATAAAAATGCTTTTCAACACGTATATATGTATTTAACCATGCATGTATGTATGTCTGTCTGCCTGTCTGTCTGTCAGTCTGTCTGCCTGCCTGTATGTATGTATGTATATATGCATACGCATGTATACATATATATATATATATCTCCATATATATACATATTCGCAGTTCCTCGGATTTGTGTTTGCCCCCCTTTTTTTTCTCTTCCCTCCTTCTGAACTCCTTCGCGACCTTCCTGTGCACGATGTTCCTCGCGTGGTGAAGGGTCAGCGGCGCCGAAAAGGGCCATTTGCTGAGGGGGGCAGGTCGGGGCCTGGGTGCCCATTCATCGCAGGTCGGGCCCCCGGTGCCCAGCTCTGCCCAGGAGCGTGCTTTTCGCCATGGCGAGATCTCATCGCTGATCCACTCGTGACGCGTCGCCGACTGCAGGCCAATGTTTTCCGTCCTCCTTCCCTGAGATCCGACGCCGCGAACAAAGTGCAACATAATGAAAATCACGACCGTGGCGCCAGACCCAATTTTTCCCATGCGTTGTGCGAGCCGGATTGATCCGAGAGGGTCCCGGGACCCGAAACAAGCGCGAGCACGCGATGGGGTGAAAATTGCGAGCGCGACCGGCAGCCCAACCCGAGGTGCGTGCTTGACGCGGGCATGTCGTGCGTCTTCTGCATCGGCGAGCCCAAGGAGGCCTGCCAGCGGCGCTGCGCTCGCGCTTCTCCGTCATGCTTCGGATGGTCTAGCGTCCGAAATTATCATAAATCATCCGTCGGCTGCGCGCCATCCCAGGGCTCATTTCGATTCCTCCGATGCGCTTCGATTTGATTTCGGTGGCTTCCGATTCCGATTCGATTCGACTTCGTATTACAACTTGCATGCCGATTCCTCACTAGAGGCGCTTTTGCTTGCTGATCTCTGCCGATTCGACTTCTCCCGACTTGGCTGCCGATGTCCGCCGATCCGATTCACGTCGATCGCCGATCCGACTCATCGATTCAGTGATGGGCTCTCCTGCCATCCAGAGGGGCGCATTGACTTCCTCCCGCCGCCTACCCACCCCAGCTGGAGTGGGCGAAATTCTTGGGGCCACATGCGCACCGGGCATGCGGGGAAGGAGACAGATTGCAAGATCTTGTTCAAGATCTTCTTGTTTGGAGACATATATTGAGAGAGCGGTGTGTGTAGTGTATGAATGTGCGTTTGCCGACGCGCCTTGGGCGTATGGCCTCTGTCTGTCTACCCCCCCCCCCGCGTCGAAGTGCCAGGGCACCGCAAGAGAGGCGGCGACGGCACGGCGGATGTCCGATGCAAGCGTCTCACGTCCCATGGGCTCGATGCTCGTTTTGGGGACCTTCTTGGGGCCCACCTAATGGATCTGTTCGACTCAGGTTCGACTCAAGTTCGACTCAGGTTCGAGACACAGATTCGACTCAGGTTCGACTCAGATTCGACTCAGATTCGACTCAGGTTCGACTCAGGTTCGACTCAGCTTCGACGCACGAGTGGAGCGAGTGGCTCCAGGAAGGTCCCCAGAATGAGCATCTAACATGGGCATGATCCCTGGGTGCAATCCATGGTTTTGTGGTGTCGGGGGCGGCAAAGAGGGGGGTGATGACTAGAGGGGGGGATATGATGGCGTGGGCCAGGATAGTTCCCCAGATGTCACGGCGCCTCTTCTTATTTTGTTGCGTCCCTGGCCCCCAACCCCCTGGGCCGCGCACTTGCCGCCGGCCACGATTTGCACCCCCCCCCTCTTGGACGCCCCCCTCTTGGCCGCTCCCGATGGTGCTCACGCTGCAGCTGACAGTTCTCCTTCGCCTCCTCTTCCTCCTCCTTCCTCTTGTTTTCCACCCGCACACGATGTAGCCAAAGAATCGATAGGCATGCCGCTGCTCCCGCAAAGCGGAGAGTACAGGCCGGCGTCGTCCCCCTTTCGCCCACGCGCTCCAGCGTATGGCTCCACTGACACTGACACTGGTCCGTGGTCCGCTTTCCGAAGTCGGGTCTTCTGTGTGTCGTCCCGGGGGTGCTGCTGCACCTTTCTCGGGGGAGCGTAAGACCCGGGTTTGCCAGGACTCGGGTTCGCCATCGTTTTTTGACGACCGCGCCTCGGATTTTGACGAGGAGGAGTTTCGTGGGATGTCTGCAGCGGGAGGCCTCGTCAAAATGCAGGCTCGGCCTCGTCATTTTTTTGACGACCTCGTCGGGGATTTCCGAGTCCCCTGTACCCAGGTCTTACGTCCCCCTGATGCTGATTGCCACGCATCCCACGATGTTCGGAGGTGGATAGACCTCCTACCCTGACACGTCGATTGAGGAATTGGCCGTTTTCGGTTCGCGAGAGGGCGTCGCGGCCGTCATTTTTGCGGGTCCAGGTCCGTCGGTTTCGGTCCCAGGCCGTTTTCACTAAGGGGAGGTTTACGAAAGGGAGGTTTGTCCACCGCCGAGATGTGGTGGTCATCATTGGCAATTCTGTTTTGTGTGGTGTGCGGGCCCGTCCCTGCTGGACAGGGCCGCGAACTCCGCGAGGAACAGGGGCACGCCACCAAGAGGCGGTCAAATACGTCCCGTCCCGATGCATCGCGGCTGATCTTCCAAGTCACGACTGACGCGCACAGGGCCTTGACTTGAAGTCAAGACGGCCAGGCCTGCATTCGCGTAGTGCCAACTGCCTCATGCTTGCGTGGGCGCGGGATGGTGTGTTTCTCACAAGCGATGTGGTGGTATCTATAAGGTGCAATGCACTTTGACTGTCTTGAAGCTGCCTTCTCCGCTGCTCGTGCAAACATCCCACCCTCCCGCCCGCAACTTGGTCGCAAGACCTCTTAAGACTGTGACGGTAGGTACCAAATGGCAGTTGGCAACGACACCGACGATGACAGCGATAACGACGACGATGCCGACGACGACACAGACGACTCCAACGACTCCGACGACGACAACGAAGACGACGACGACACCGACGACCACGACGACGACGACGACGACGACTACGACGACGCCGACGCCGATGACGACTACGATGACGACGACGCCGACGACGACGCCGACGACGACGACGACGACGACGGCGACGCCGACGACGACGACGACGCCGACGACGACGACGAAGACGACGACGACGAGGGAGGAGGGAGGACGACGATAGCGACAAGGACGACAACGACGAGGGAGGGAGGAGGACGCCGACGACGCGAGCGACGAAGAAGGAGGGAGGATGGCGACGCCGACGACGACAACGACGTGGGAGGAGGGACGACGACGACGACGACGACGACGACGACGGCGACGAAATAGGAGGGACGACGACGAGACGCCGTCGACGGACGACGACGACGAGGGAGGAAGAAGGACGACCACGGCGACAACGACGGTGAAAACGACGACGACGCCAAAGAGGACGACGGCGACGACGAGGAACGACAGAGGACGACGACGACGACTAGGACGACGCAAGAGCGCGCGCGCAAGCTTTTTTCAACATCAGTGTTGCGAACACCAGTGTTTTTGTATGTTTTTTGGGGAACCTGATTTTGAAATCCTTCCGAAACCGAAGGCTTTTACTGGATTTCGGCATGCGCGCGTGACGACGAGCGCGCGTGCACTTCGTCCGATTTTTTGCAGAGGATTTTCGCGACGGCACGCGCGCAAAGGCGTTCGAACGATTTCGACATGCGCGCGCGCGACGCCTGTTTGGTAGTGTTTTCTGTGCACATCTGGGAATCACAACTGTTTTCTTACGATTTCGCAACAGCGCGCTTGACAGCTTTTTTAGACAATCCGCGTTGCGACACCCTGTGTTGTTGTATGTTTTTTTTCGCGACGACGCGCGCGTGCGCATTTCGTCACATGTTTTGCAAGGGGCCCTTGAACACTCATGATTTGTTATAAACGGGTGTGCGCGCATAGTATTTGTTGCACGGGGATGAACGATGGGGCGGAATCGTATGTCCATTGCAATACGAACGGGGGGTCTTGAAGCCCGGGGGGGGTGGTATAACTTATTGTTAAAGAGAGGAAAATTGGTGTGGTGTTGCCTGTGAGTGCACCCTGTGTGGTGCAACCTGTGTGGTGCAATCTGTGTTGCGTAACCAACTATGTGCAATATAGGTTGTGCATGCCACAGCACATGTGGTACAATGTATGGGGTGCACTGACTACCCTGCACCGCGCTTGACCACCCCACTGCTCGCGCAAACATCCCACCCACCCAGCCGCAACTTGGTTCGCAAACTCTTTTAAAAACCGTGACGGTGGGTACCAAATGGCACTTGGCAACGACAGCGACGCCGACGACGACAGCGAGAACGACGACGATGACGCCGCCGACAACGACCACGACGACACCGACGACGTCTCCAACGATTTCGACGACGCCGACAACGACGACGACGACGACGACGACACCGACGACGACGACGACGCCCCCAACGACTTCGACGCCGACAACGACGACGACGACGACACCGACGACGACGACGACGCCGACGCCGACGACGACGACGACGATGACAACGACGACGACGATGACGACGCCGACGACGACGACAACGACGACCCCGACGACGACGACGACGTCAACGACGCCGACGACGACGACGACGACGACGGCGGCGACGACGACGACGCCGACAACGACGACGAAGACGACGGCGACGCCGACGCCGACGACGACGACGAAGCCGACGACGACGTCGCCAACTAAGACGACGACGAGGGAGGAGGGAGGACGACGACGGCGACAACGGCGACAACGATGACAACGACGAGGGAGGAGGGAGGACGGCGACGACGCGAACGACGAAGAAGGAGGAAGGACGGCGACGCCGACGACGGCAACGACGAGGGAGGAGGGAAGACGACGACGACGACGACAACGAAGACGACGACGACGACGACGACGACGACGACGACGGCGACGACGAATAGGAGGGACGACGACGAGACGCCGACGACGGACGACGACGACGACGAGGGAGGAGGAGGAAGGACGACCACGGCGACAACGACGACGGAAACGACCACGACGCCAAAGAGGACGACGACGACGAACACGAGGAAAGACAGGACGACGTAGGCGACGACGACGACGACGACGCGGGAGGAGGGAGGACGGCGACGACGACGACGACGCAAGAGCGCGCGCGCACGCTTTTGTTGAAAATCCTTGTTGCGAAACCTTGGGTTTTTCCCCACATCCAAAGTGGGGTTCTTGTTTTCTCTGGACACCCCGCGCAGGAACATGAACACACACACCCACTCACACTCACTCATACTCTCTCATCATCAACCTCATCAGCATCATCGATGATGCTCTCTCACATGCTTAGTCACTCACATACTCATCATCATCACCACTCGCACTCTCTCACACGCTCATGAACATCATCATCATCATCATAAGCATCGGCATCATCCTCATTCAAACATCATCATCGCCACCACCACTCACAATCAATCATCATCCTCTTCACCACTCATCTTCACCACCACTCATCATCCTCATCCTCATCATCGTTGAGTAAATTGTGAGGAAGTCTCAGGCGGGAGCCCCCTCCCTATGGGGCCCGCAGATCATGTTGGTAATCCGAGCGGGTCATCGGAATCCTGTAACTGTCGTCACTTTTGAGCTCCCCAGGCCTGAAAATGGAGGAAGTCTCAGGCGGGAGCCTCGTCTGTGAGTGAATTGGGAGGAAGTCTCAGGCGGGAGCTCCCTCCCTATGGGGCCCGCAGATCACGTTGGTAATCCGAGCGGGTCATCGGAATCATGTAACTGTCGTCACTTTTGGGCTCGTCAAGCCTGAATT